AGCTTACACTACATGATGTAGTGAGCCTATGCTCAAAAACTTTTATGCACCACGTGCTGATCTTCCAGGCTACTCAACAATATAATTTGTCCACGGAAAAAGATTCATTTTAAAGACTCTATAACAACAAAAATAAAGGAGCAAACATGGTCACATGCCATATTCATTGAGGTATTTTGTAACATGCTGCACTTAAATTTACAAGCTTTAGTCTTTTATATAAAGACACATCAGGAATATCTAACATAAGTCAAATCCACTGTGTGCAATCTTATCAATCCAAGTATCAGAATATTATATCAGGCTAGGGAAATAGTATATTCAAATGATTAGGCCCTTCTGTACAAACTTTACAAATTATCTTATCTCTGGTCTATATTACTCCATTGCTTTTATTTCTACACTTGGTTCTCAAAAGTAAATAAAGCGTTTTACAATGAGGAGACCACCTCCACTAGAAGTCTTTATATATTACATATATATAGATATATACACGTACATGCACACACAAACCTTTCCCAAACATGTKGGAACACATCTTCGAGGTGCTGGCTGGCAAGGCTTCAACAGGCTGAGTCATTCCAGACTGCCATTCCAGGAGTGAAGCTATTCAGCAGCAGTGGTTGGTGATGCCCTTCTAACCCTTTAGGCAAGAAAGAGAAAATGGATGGTTAGTGAAATGATTCTCTAAAAAGAGAAAMCAATGGTTAGTGCACAGAATACCAAAAAATTCCCCAAACCTTTCAATCTGCAATTCTATGTATGGAAAGATCAGAGCCTCTTAACTTGATGGAACTTTAARACATCCTTTCTTGTCTGTTTCTTGTAGTCCCACTTCAGATTATACCACTCTATCCCAGCCACAGCACTACTCAATCCTCAAGAATATCATTTAAGCTTAAGAAAGAAACCCTTAGTTTTACCTCAGAAATTGTTTAACTGTTTTACTTGTCAAAAAGCAGTTTGGAGCTTGGGAGCAGCATTAGAAGGATCACAAGTATTTACCTTGACCAAGTCAGAGTGGTTCAAAGCACTCTCAGAAACAGAGAGTCTAGCATAGAAACAAACAAGTGCAATTCAACTCATTATTCTTTCCTATGACAACCCAGGATAAGTATGCTCACCTAAACCTCACTTTAGAAGATACAGTGCTGATGCAAAAATTCAGTATTCTGCAGTTTAAGCCTTCAGGGAGATGTATAGCCAAACAAAACCCATCTTGTAATTTTTTACTAGTTAGATACCCAATCTAATTTTTCATACTACRAATCATTACCTTTCGCAGTTTATAGTATATACTTTATGCCTACGGTAGGATCATGTTTATAGTTTAACTTAGATACTTCGGGAAAACATGTCTTGAACATTTCATAAAGCTACCTTTCAATAATAGCAAATCTTAAAAGACAGAAATGTTTACAAAATGTTTATGTTTTATCATGAAATTTTACACACTCCAACACCACTATTATGACACTTCATTTTCCTTTTTTTGCCAAATGACAGACCCTAATTACAGCAAATTAACATTTCCAAAATTACCTGGGAGATCATAAATCAACCAAGTAACATACAACAAGGAATCCAATGTAATAGTGAAAGAATAAGATAAGAAACTTATCAAGTAACACCTGTAATGCAAAAATCTGTGATTTAGCATGTTTTAAAAATCACATATTGATAGTAGCAAAATATACAAGTCATAGGCTACAGGACAACCAGTTCCCTTGCCCTTCGGATCTACTTTGACAGTTCTCCTAGTTCTTACACAAAATGAAGATAGTTTAGAAAAGGTCTGAAATGGGTTTAATTTAAAGCTAACTCGGTTTTGATGCTGAAACAGCTCTTTGTACTTMATTTCATTACAAAAGCACAGTAACTGTATTAAAATTCCTGTACAAAATGCACATGATCTTTACAATAATAAACTCTATCCCAACTCAAAATAACTGTCCTAATCTATTGTTGTACTAAAACACAAATAAACCTGTAATGTAATTTGAACCTTGTTCCTTTATTCAAAATCAACCTGTACTACTTCTTAAAAACAGTAGGCTTAGTAAGATTCAATATCTGCTTTTGGAATAGGTAAGACCAATACTATAGGCATAGGTAATAAGRTAAGGATGGAGTATGAAGGATGCCTGGCCAAAATGCAGCATGTTAGCAGTTAAATACATGCAATAAATCATATGATGAGCAACAAAACTGCTGGTTTAGGGGTAGGTGAGTAATCTAAAGCCCTAGTTGGCAAAAGAGGTGCATAGTGGTTCCCACAGAAGCTAAACAGATTAGATGAATAAGAAAAACTCAAAACACTTCTTTGTTTAGCAAGGATGACTGAAATAGTGGGATCATGTGGTTTGGATGAGGTCAGTCACTAAGAGTTTAGTGAGGATTAAAAACAGTATGCTACTTGCTCTCAATCTGTTGCTGTAATTACTGAGCTCCTTGAGTTCTTTAGAAGACAGGTATTAGTGCTTGCAGAATACATAGTCATCAATTAAAACATAGACCTGTGAATTCTATTTCTTTGAAGGAGAAAATGCCTCATCTCAAAAACCATAACAAAGGAAAATCCCCAGCAGTTTAATGATACAGCAATTTAAAATGTGAAAGGAGTTAAGCCCTGGCTTCAATGAGTTTGCTATAGCAAGCAAACATGGCTTCAAACTGTGTAAAACTCAGTATTCTTAAATACTGGAAGGCAAGAACATGAGCAAACCTAATGCTTTAGCAAGTTCTCATTGTMCCAAAACCTGCATTTGTTGGGCAGCTAGTAATCAGCTGCTTCTTAATARGCTGCTGCTACTCATTTGCTGGCTTCCTACAGCACTATAATCAGGAAAGCATTTGTCAGAACATCAGCAAAATTTACTAAGCAATTACCAAGCAAAGATTAAGAGACTTTTTAAAATATAATTTGCCTTTATATACACAAGGGCCAACAATCCTCCTCTTGAAAATGAATCCATCTCCTTTCCCTAATTAYTCCATTGATTATAAGAAATGTTTGCCTGCTAGACTTAAAAGATAGTCTTTATACTTTATCTAAGTGAGGCAATACACTTTAATTACATTTAGCTACCTAAAATATCAATGAACRAAACTACATACCTAGGGAACCTTTATGAATTAGTTTAAGAAATGCACTTTTAGAATCTATATACAACAACAGTGCTACTGAGGCCATATGTAGACAAAAGGATTTTAAGAGCCTGCACACAGTCACACAGGCAAGGTACCATGATGAAATACAAATTTGATTAGAAATATGACAATTGAGAGCTTTTCCCATCYGAAAAGGAAAAACTATTTGACCTCATAAAGCCAAAATATACTGTAAGAGGCAGACAATGACCATGAGCTAATACAGTAATCATCACACTAACTGTAAAGAGAATTACATGGATTTGTTAATTAAGTAACCATTATCCCTGTTTTAAAACAAGGGGAGGGGTTAAACTCAGGGTATTTGGAGCAGTTAGGCATAYAGTGAATGCAGCAGACACAGGATTAGCACAGAGAACTCTCTTGTTTCCTGCCCTTGTATTAACTAACTTACTCTTCTTGCCTGTCTAGACCATTCTGTATTGATCTTTAATCACATTTCTAGTAAGAAAAACTAACCAACACTTTCCAACCAACACTTTCTGATAAAAACCAACCAACAATCTCTGATAAAAATGTAGAAGTTTTTTTTCATCTGAATGTTCTGTGGAACTTTAAAACAGCTCCTTATTTTGCAAGCACCTTTTTMTCTTAAAACTCAACTACCTATTTTTGCCCTGACTGTTCCCAATAGGACTGTTACCTTTGCATCCACTTCCAACCTGCTGCTTGAATTCAGCCTTCCACCAAAACARGTACTTTGCTTTACAGGAAAAGAAGTACTTGACAATATTTCTAGCAGATAAATTTGAGCTAAACCCAAAAAGCTAATTTTTTAACCCAGTCCTATTTGTGAGGTATACACAACCTACCTGACAAGCTGCAAATAAGAGCTCATTGCTAACTAAGGCGGGGAAAAAACGGCATGAAAAACACACAAAGTGAGGARCGAGGAGCACCTGCCACCAGGTGAAGGTAGCCAAGACAAGCAGAAACTACAATAACCTAAAGAGAAATAACATAATGTAGCAAGTTGAGAGCTGTGCTACAGATGGTACAACAGAGCACACAGCTCTTGGGTGCCTGGAAGGTGACCAAGGACACTGGTGTGTTCACCCTAAGGAAATATGTCATTCAATCCAATAGCTGCATTACCTCTGCAAGGCTGGGTAGAGRATGGGATGGGATCTCCTCCCATAGGATCTCCTCCCATGGAGATTCAAAGGATGGGATGTTTTCCTCCATGAGGAAAACAACTTGGGAATAAACAGAACCCCTACAGTACTCTAGTGTCCTACTAGGAATCGCACCACCACAGAGGAAGTGGGAAAAACCTCCCAGCCTCTGGGGCTTCCTCGCAGACCCCCAGTAGCCTCCTCACACCTACTCCCACCACTTACTCCACACCRTCTCCTCGAGCAAGGTGGGAACAAACATCTACAACGACAGAGCTGGCAGCTCCATCGCACCTCCCCACAGCTGCCTCGCTGCTGGGAATGCCTGGGACACTCCTGGCTCCTACTGCGAGAGACTCCCCTTCCTTTCCCCTTCTCTCCCCCTCTCCGGACACAACCGCCACCCATGAGCCGCCCCGGCAGGCGACGCGCGGGGCCGGYAGCTGCCCCGCTAAAAAGCTCGCGCTGGCATCACGTGACCTCGCGCAAGCGCAGAGAGGGGGGGGGGGAAAAAAAAAAGCCGTTACTGCGCGCATGCGCCTTTTTTTGTGTCGCGCGCCAGTGTGCCGCGCATGCGCACTACGGCGCGCSGTCTCGCGAGAGTTGGGCGGCGCCGCGGAGGCCGTTTTAAACGGCGGCGGCGGCCGTTGCGCGCCAGTTGGGCTGCGTTAACGGTCCGCGCGGCTGCTTCCCYGGTTGCGAGTTTCAGCCGTGTTTTTGTTATTATTTGTGGAGGTGCGGTGCTGCATGGGTCGCGTGGTTTTTCCGCGCAGGGAGCTGCCGGTTCTGCGTGCGTGGTCCGTTTCCTGCGTGCCCGCGTTTGGGGGATTAGGGTCTGGGTTCCTGTATTCGCTGGGTCGCGCAGCCGGTCGCCCTGCTCGCCCTTTAACAGGACGGGGCGCGGAGGAGCCAGCCGTTTGTCATTGTGAGCTCAGGTTAGCAGCAAACTTTCTTTTTCATGCTTGTTTTCTCCCCCCGATTCTCAGTTTCCACAAGTATGTTCTCAGGGAGGTGAGTAGCCCCCAAATTCATTTCTTTGCTGACCGTCCCAGCTGGGCAAGTGAAGCAATAGTCTCGATACTTGCTGTAAGGGCAACCCTTGCTCTGAGCAGGACGCACTTACATTGCTCACAGCGGTCAGAAAGATTGTGAGCACTTCCAAAGTGATGTGTGATGAGCTGTTCTCTGCATGGAGGCAGAGGAGACAGCTTCTCATAAATACAGGGAGATAATAAATCTAGRAGGATAAATATAGAGAGATAAAAAATGTAATAAAGCCTCATAAATCCAGGGAGATGGATTTCTGTTGCAAAGTGACTAGAGGGAGCATGCAGTGCTTTGGGAAAAGGTTTTTCCTCTTTGCTGTGGATATTCACATGTGGTGCTTTGCCARACAGAAAACTCAGAAGTTTTTCATCTGATTAATTCTATTTTGAGTATTGGAGGTTGGGGAGGCTTATTAACCAATTAGTTTATTTGAACATAGTATTCCTGAATGACTTAGTGCACCCATGGTTGGAAATTGCAAGCAGTGACTCCTCTTTATCACATTATAAGCTTCTGACCCAAGCTGCTTGGAGCTCCCTGATTAATCTTCTGCAAAGCAGATGATTAAGTTGAGGGTCTCTATGTTCCTGCAGTGTCTGAAAAGCTGTATTTATTTATTTTCTAAATAGTAAGCATAGTATATATACTTGCCTGCTATAATAGGAAACCTTGTTTTTGTTCTTAATTTTCTTTTTTTTCCCCCTCATTCTWAGGAAGRGAAGAAAACAAAAATTTAATTTTTTTTTTAGGGAGCATCTAGTATATAGTTTGTTAAGAAAAACAAGGATCCTGTATGGAAGAATAGAGGGGAGTGCCAAAAGGAGTAAAAGAGCAGAGAGGAGGGAAAGATGAAATTCCCAAATACTCTCTAGAAATTAAATATATACTMCAAGGAAATGACCCTGCGTATAGCTTGTTTGTCTACTCTCCAGATTTACTGCAGAGCATTTGTCCCTTGGCAGCACTGCCTAATCTGGCTGATTCTCAACTATCTGACAGCTTCCTTAAGGGAGATTTGAATAAGATTTGCATTTCTATGGGGCTTTAACTAGAGATCTGCATTTTTCATGACAGCCACAGGCTTCAAGCTGGTTCAGAAAAAGACTATTTTGAAGAGCCTTGTTAAAACTGCAGCTTCTACTCATCCAAAATAGCTAACTGTTGTTTGCTTTTTTAAAAAAGAAAAGCAGATTAAGAGAATAAACTCGAACTGAAGAAAGACTTACATGGATGTCTGAAGGTGAGTTAAAAATGTAATTTCACATTAATATTGTAAGGTAGGAGTGATCAAAATAACTGAGGTCTTAATGCATGATTGTTACTTGATTAGGAAATAAACTTAGTGTTTGTGATKCTCTCTGAAATGCATCAGAATTCACCTTCCYTGTCTACACAKAWTCACACYKCAAGCTCTCGCCTGGTGTTCTGTGACATTACAAATGTTACCATCAAGCGTTTCATGTCTAAATTCTGTTCCACACAATGTTTGTTATAAGTGTCTTTGCTTTAGTAATAATACTGTTGACAATGATTAGATATATGTATGCTGAAATCTTATCTTTGAGCTTTTTTTTGAGCAGTGTGCAGTGCTAGTGTTTCAAACATAGCAGAGGATGGTTATGAATATGTGAAGCTTCAAAGCCTGGACAGATCAAGTTTATCATATGTGTATAATAACATGAATAAATCCTTGTAAAGCTGAAAAATAGGGTTTGATAATTTCTGTCCTGTTAGTGAGAAAGYAGCACAGTTTTGGTATCCTGACTTTTTGTTTGATAAAATAATAAAATTTTGTTTCAACAGGAAGTTGTGAAGCTCTACATATATCTTTGTTGCATAAAAGGCAATAATTAATATGAAGGCATTATATTTCAGCTTACTGATAACTCATATTCATGAGCTTTTCTTTATTAAGCTGTGAAAAATGGTGCTAATTAAGACAAGCATCTTGAGCATGCAGAAGAGTAATTATACCAAAAAGAATGGCAACAATTAAATTGCATAGGTAAAAACAAAAAACGCTGAGAAAGGTCTTCAGTGAAGAATTACTTGAATTTTGCGGGGCAGTGCAACAATTATGAAYCTTAACTTTGTAAAAAATCACTTTTTTATATACTTGTCCCTGTATAGTTTCTGAGAGATAATTCTTGGTTTATGCTGTGTAGAGGGTGAATCACTTGGCAAATAGTCGTAATAGKATTTTCTTCATTGCGCAGACTTATTAAGTTTGGGAGCTAGCTGCTGTACAGAACCATGAAGTTATTTTGACTCCTTTTAGCACATGYGTGTGTTGTTTTTGTTTTACGTTATTGGAAAGTAAAAGCTACCTTTACTTATTTTTATGGTATGAAAGTAGAAATGGGTGAATTTTGTGAAAAACATGGCCAAGAGAGTATAGCAGGGCCTATGGCAAACAGGTATGTTACCTGAACTGATCCAAGTTTAAAACAGAGAGCAGTGATGCAAGGCACTTCTTCTTAACTCACTACTTAGACCTC